AGACAGTATTAGATATAGGTACTCCAAATAAATCAACAAAATGATTACTTTGGCAAAATGTTTATTAAACTCATCGGCAATTTTTAGTAATTGTACAATTTTCATAAGTGACAATTTCACTGAAACTTTTTTTTTTGTTTTTTTTTTTTTTTTTTTTAATAAATTGAACAGATAATAATTTTCCATATTTTTTTAGTCATTTCCTAAATAATTGGCCAAATAACTATTACTTGAAATAATTACTAGGTATATAGATGATATTTGTGCGTGACACGCGTACAGCAGTGCTTAATAAATTTAGTAGTGAAAATATTTTTAAATGGCTTCTCAATGTAAAATGTTTTATTACTCGTTCAAAAAATTGAAATTTTGGACAAATTAAAAAGTGGTGATATTATAGCGTCACTTGCTAGAACGTAAAAAATGAATGAACCTAGTGTTCGAGAAATGCGTAAAAATTAAGAAACAATACGATGGATAATAAATAAATTAGTAGTAGGAATTAGAAAATTATTAATTGATTAATAATTAATTTTTAAAATTAAAAAAAATTAAACCTAACCTCCCTTTTTACATTGATTTATGGTCTCGTTATCCGCACAGGTTTGCTAGAACGTAACCTTCGCGGATAACGAAGGATTACTGTACTGTATACGCACAACTGCATCACAACACATCGCATTATGATCGCACTCAGCCGAGTGTACAGAACGATGTATTGCAACGAATCGAAAACTGCACTCGTGTCGTCGCGCGTACGGTTTACGGTTGACGTACTTTCGACCGGCTGAACGACTGCTCGGCGAGATCCGTCGGCAGCGATTTCGATCGCCGGGGCGATCGCCGCCACTTACGCCACCTGTATACCAGTTTACAACACAAGATGTGCACCGCTATACTTCGGTGACGGTGGTTTTTTGGTTTTTCCTTTACAGTTTTTTTTTTTTTTTTCTAACGTTTTTAAATTCCCAGTAGTGTATTGGAGGGTATACGGCGTGTACCCAACACGCTATTTTTATCCATGGCGTATAGCTTATAAAAAATTGATGATACGCGGGTATACAACCGTATCTAGCGCATAGCTTGTGATTTGGACAAATATAAATGGTAAAACTTTTGGTTATATTTATGACTTGATTCGGTATCGGATATATTATTATATTTTTTTGAAAAATTCAAATTTGTTTTCATTTAACAAGTTTTCATTAAAAAAGTGGGATCCCAAAGACTATGTGAATTCGTGGATGATAAGTCATAGATCAGCAGAAGACGATAGAAGTAAATTATGTCTCCCAGATGTAGATCCGAATAGTGAAAACAAAACAAGTCTTTGAAGAATACTGACGTAAAAAAAATAGTAACCGTGATTTATTTTTTTTTTTACTCAATTTATTTTGTTTACATTTTTTTGTCAATGTAACAGTAATAAACGTTATATAAAATTTAAGCGAAGTCTGAAATTTTTTTGTATGTCATATTATAAATTTAGACCATAAACACGTGCTTTCTAACTTTAAAAATAGATAGAGATATGAAGAGTGGTTAATTTAAAAATCAATAACCACTTAATAAAATTATTAGTCCATTTGTTTAGCATGCAGTATACATCGAAGTATTATAGAATAAATACAAAAGTATAATATTTTATCAGGTTTTAAGTGAATACAAGTAAAGTGAATATTGTTCGAGCGAAGCGAGAAAAAATTTTTTTGGTTCCTACCATATGATAGTTAACACATGAAATAAGGCGTATCCCCATGATTTATTTTAGCAATACATCACTGTAAATTTCACCATGTTTTTTAAACCTTTCCGTCTGGCACGCGCGAGTCTTATACCGCGCGTACGCATTTCGAGCGGTACGTTCGAATCCATAACAACGACGCGCTACAAGCGTAATACAATTCTATCCTAACGGGACGGGGGAAAAATAAAACGAGGCCGATAATAATTCTACTAATAAAAAATAGTAATAAAAACCTTTTTCTTGTTTGACCTTGGTCGTCCGTTCTTTACGTTGTACGCGCACGTATACACGCGCAACAATATTATATCGTTAAAATACCATCAGTGTGTGTGTGTGTTGTATGTTTGTAGTTATGCGACCAAAACGCACCGGATCGTCATCTGTGTGCACGAAACCGGTCTGATACATATCGTTACACGTCTATATACATTATCATACAGAAAATTATTATAATATCTGCGTATGCATGTAGACCGTTATAAATAATAAAAATTGTTTCCTGGTCGATTTTCGTTTCGAGGTATATTCGTAATGAATGGTTTTTTTTCTTTTTCTTTTTTCTAAGATAAACTACGAGGGACGTCCGACAGGTAATAAATCAACACAGGAACGCAATCGCTAATTTTGTGCGATTCCATAGTCTCGATTTTTAACAATCCATTCGCTGAAAACGTGTTTACTGAAAGACGTTTTAAATCATTGTTTATAATGAAATTCGATCGTCAACGACGGTTACTTGCCTTCAACGTTCAGTCAATGACAAATGTGATATTTACAGTATAGCGCGTTGATTTAGATTTAAAAAAAAAAAAAACACCATAATGTGGTTAGAGGTCAAGGGTTTCGTGTGGTGTATGTATAGGATATGTATATTTTGTTTGCATCAATAAATAATACGGTAATAAATAATAGTACTAAACAAATCTGAATGGAATCAATAAAAATTAAATAGTTCTGAAGTGAAACATTCCGATATTGTTTACGAACGTGTGCAACACGTATTAATGATGTTAATTTCATTGTAACAACAACGTTTTTTTTTTTTTATCGTCTGTATCTTTTTAATCGTTTTTAACGACGCATTGTACACGGTGTTACGGCGCGACGGAGGTTGTTTTCTCAGTCGGATGTTTCAATAACTTAATGCAATATTTACCGGTTTAAGGTCGAAGTCTCGTGCCAGATCGGACGTGGAAACACGCACTCCGTATACAGCGTGTGCGGCAATTTGTTTTCCGGCGGTAACCGCGGTTGCCGGGTCGTGACCTGCAGCCGCTGCGGCGCGGAACACGCGACTTTTGTACCCGACGCGACTGAGATGATGTGCAACGATACAAAAGGCGTAGAAATGCCGTTTGGCATTATCACTATATTAATGTAGCGTTGACTTGTTATCGGTTGAACGTGACCGACCGGAGAGCGCAAAACGGTTTATTGTTACAATGACTACGGTGGGCGTTCGTTGTCCTTTATGGTTATCGGCTGCGATGCAAACGAACGCGATTAGCGACATCCGCATGCATTTCGATGTCGAAAATATGCGAAAACTAACCACCAACGAACATTTTTCATTCATTTATCGCGAAGCGAAAATCTGACCGAACATTCGAAACCGTATAATGCGCCCGCTCAATATGCGTAGTATTTAGTGGCTTGCGCCGGATTCGCGATTGCCTTCGTATCGTCGTGTAATGCAATAGGCGGTAACGAATTGAGGTGCAGGTGAAATTACGAATATGAAGCCGGGTTCCCACGACTCGTGTATTTGACGAATATTCGCTATTCGTGGATACTCGTCATGTAGTGGGAATGGTATATTTGTACGAATATTCAGTATTCGGTATTCGTCATTCGTCTTGTTCCCGCCGATTGTCGGTAAAAGTGACACGAGTCAAAGAAAATAATTGTATCACAATTGATATTTGGATGAGCATTCCCACGACGTGACGAATATTTGTGTATTAATTTCCGTGGTAGTAAATTCAAACTCCATACATACGAATTTATAAGTTTATTGGAGGGGTAATTTTGACTACTTGTACGAATACTTGTACGAGTATTTGTGTTAACAAATATTTGTCAAACATGCAAGTAGTGAGAACAGAATATTTGGGTATTTGTACAAATAGACGAATATTCGGCAATTATAAATATTCGTCAAATACACGAGTCGTGGGAACCCGGCTTGACGCGTAACGGCTGGCTTACACACGTACATGGAATGCGCGCGAATAACGGGATCATCGCAGGAACGAGTAGTATATTGTACATACGGTAAATAAAAAAACACGATCGCGGTAATTAAATGGAATATATATATACCTTTCACAAGCAATAAATAATTATCGCATTGATGGTTTTATGAGATTAGGTGGGGGGGGGGTCCAGGAGGTATGGGTTTTTAGGCTGGGATGTATTATTCGTTCGGGACGCTAGTGTTTAAAATTTCTTATTATTTTTGTTTTGTTTTTTTTTTTTTAAGAATTAAACCATTTTTTTATATTAAATGTAACAAAATATTATTAAAATTCGTTTGACGATCAACAAGTCTATTCAGATTTATCCGAAACAACAATCAGATTGACTGTATTCCGCTACACACGTCAAAAATATTCTTTCACCACGTGTGTATGTGAACAATTAGTAACATTCTATTGCTGTCTTTCGATATCGTAAAGAGTACATGATAGGTATTGGATTTGTCTACGTCAGTTTTCAATACATTTACAATGAAAATCATAAATCCTAATTTATCAAAACGAAAACAATTCAGATTTCGAATAGTAAACGGTTTCGGATGGACGAAAAGTTTACCGCGGTTACTCTACAGTTAAACTTAGAGTCGGGTTAACCGTTCGACATACAAAATATTTTATTTGTATCGGCTCTTCTGTAACCTGTGGTCGAGTACCATTACTCGAACGTTTCGTTAAAATCAGTTGCTTTAAAAAGTACCGAAATACGCATTCGTAGGGTAAAAATCACAAAACGCGCGCACAAGTCAACAGAAAATAAAAAAAAAAACCGTAAAATACGGTGCCTCGAGACATTTCCCGCGTCGGGATGATAGTTGGACGGACGTTGAATTACAAGCGGTGCGTTTATTGTCGGTGAAAACGCGTGTGCAGCGCCACCGTGTTACGTTCGGAAGTGTCGCGGTCGGTCCGCGTGCAACGTAGGCACTTTGTCCGACGATGACGTCTCCGCGGTTCGGGTCAGTGTACCGGTACACGTTCGGTCGGACCGCGGTTGTCGTCGTCGAATCGAACACACGGGTCCGGAACAAACAAACGGTATCGGATCGGTCGCGCGCGCTGCAGCCGGGAACCCCCGTCGGACTACTGCCGCCGCCGCCGCCGCCAATTCCTACCTTTTTTCACGACCGTCGTCGACGTACCCGTACCGCGAACAAGACGTGTTGCGCGTGCGGACCAGTGCGTGCGTGTCCGTCGTCGTGTCCGGTACTGTTGTGCGCGCGACCGCCATTCCTGGCTTGCCATACCATTCGTGTTTACGTTCGTTCGAACCCAGCGTTTTGCCCGTCCGCGAACACACCGATTTGCTGCGAACAACACGATAGCGCTTAGAACCGCGACGACATTCAGCTAGCCAATACCCGTCGGGATGACGTACGTTCGGATCGCCGCCGTCGGTTCGGCGCCGTTCGAAAAGCGGACGGTTTTGTTCGCAGCAGCAGCGTTCCTGTGGTGGTGCTGTTCGCTCGCCTCGGCTGACGATTCGGCCGTCGGTCGGCTGTTCCCGGTCGGCGTCCGGTTCGAGTACGAGTTCCGGAGCTCCGTGCTCGTCGACGGTCCGTCCCGCCTGGCCCGCAACGGCACGACCAGTCCGGCCGGTCACCGCGTGGTCGGCCGACTGTCCGTCTCCAGCATCTGGTCCGATCCGTCTGACGGCAAGCTGTTGCGATTGCACGTGAGTAGACAAACGCATCTTCATCTTGTCCGTTTTCGTCCGGTCCGAAAGCTAACGGTTTTCCGACGGATGGAAGAATTACTGTGATTCGTTGCCTCGTTCCCGGGTACTTCGAAGTTTTCCGGTTCCTTTTTAACGTTGATTTGAAAGTCCATCACGATCTTCCCGAGGAGATGCAACAAATTGTATACCTACACCGAACGACGGTTTTAAACGTTTTTCTACACTAATATTGTGACTTTATAAACCGCAATGATGACGCCAAAACGTCTTCATATAAACACGACGAGTACATTGCGTTAAAATCGTATTAACGGTTGATTATACGTTTAAGAATGTCTAAAATTGTTTGAACAAATAAGAGTTTATTTTTTTCCCCAACACAGTGAGGTAAATAAATCTTAATCGAAAAACAAATCGATTAATATTAACCAGGAAATGAATATGTTTGAAGTTAAATATTTAGGAAGTTGTTCTGTGTTATTCAGACCGAATTTAATAAATATTATCGTCCTTATTATCTATGGTATAATCACGGTCCGAGAGAACCGTGACCAATATGACCTATTTGGTACCTACTTGCTTACAAACAAGAAACTGAATGACTTTTATCATTCTTAAATCAACATTAATTCTTAAAAAATTTTTTTTTCTGTGATGAAAAAAATCAAAACTCTAGAAACTAGCAAAATAAAAGGTTATTTTTTTATCAACAACAGTACAACACATTTTAATGTATGAAAAATGGGCTCAATACTCTCCAATATCCAAAATATGTATAAACATATAAAATATATTTTTTCCTACTAATTCTGTAATAGATAAACTGTCCACATTTTTCATCCTCATTGCGCTACATATATAGTCAATAAAATGTGTATTAATATACAAAATATGTATTAAAACCTTAAAATCCGCTCTCTAGATAAAAGTAATAAACCAACTGATTTATGAAGTGATATCAGCCATATCAAGTAATCTTATTTGTAATGTATAAACTTAAACTTAACATAAATTTAAAGTCGTGTTTTTTTTTTTTTTTAATGTGTAAGTATTTTATATTTTTTTGAAAAACTTTGTATCCTAAAACAAAATATAAGAATCACTACTAGGTATAGATAATTAATGCTCATTAATTTACAGAAATAAAAAATCTATAGAGATTTTTTCGGAAAATTGATATTATATTTAATTTAAAGACATGTGTTGTATCGATGTATCGTGGTACATCAGCCTGTTTCAACGCGATTCCCGATTGTGAATAAACGTAAAATATATTGTCTTCTAAAGTACCTCCTAACAGTGGCGCTGACTTGTATTTTATTTGATGGGGCAAAGTATAAAAATTTGTTAATACTACCACCCAAAATGTTAGAGCAAAATAATGACAGGTTACACGATTGAATGATTATATTGTACATTTAACCATCATAAAGTCGCTCACTTCGCTCGCAAATTATCACTCCAATTTCATCTATTAGATAGGTACTATTCAGCTGTGACGTATCTAGGGTAGGGTTAGGGGGTTATAACCGACAGCTCGCACTATTATGTCTATTTTAGAATACGATTGTATAAATTGTTAAATGTTCCGCTTAAAACGGCTGCATAATAGTTGTGTGCCAAAGATATCACCGAAAAAAGGTCTAACCCGAATTGCGGCTCGAATTTACTTTGGGTACAGAGAGTTGCGGCCCGGGTTTACTAACGCTAGATTATTTAATCTTGACTGATAAAATATTTTGTGAGGCTTTTCATTCGAAATTCAAAGCTTTTTTCTACAGTGCTCATCCTAATATTTTTATATTCATCAATGTTCTGAAAAATGTACAAAAAGATACCTGTATAAAATTAAGAAGCACTCACTTCAATACTCGCAGAACATATATAATTGAAAAAGAAACATTTATTAGAAATGCTATGAAACGGTTAGAAGAAAACCAAGTTGAGAAATTTTAATTTATACATCATACAAGTTTTAACCGGTGCCATAATACCTAAGAATTTTACTAAATTATACTTTTAAACACTGAAAACCGAGAGACGTTCAACTTCATTATGTGTGCGAAATAGATATGTCAATGTACGTCTTTATACTTGATATGGTATAAAGACATGCATTGATATGCGAATTGCTCTATCGCATAATAGTACTCTACCATCTACAGATCGACTGTCACTTAATTTGTACATTCCTAAGATTTACTAACTAGAATGTAAATTTATCCACCTAAACACCAAACACCCACCACCATAGTTAAATGAAGGGGTGAACTGCCCCATAAAAATACGTGTTCGGCGCTACAGCCTCCTAGTGCGTAAGTACACACTTTTCCAGTTGTCCACCTTAAGATTTACATTAATTTATACAGCTATTCACTTCAGACAAGATTCTTATAATCATTATTCCGAAAACTAAAACTATCTAATGAACCGAAAAGGTATTGGTAATTTCGATGGAAAAAATTGTGAACAATTTGAATATTATATTTTAATTAATGAAAAATATTTACGATTGTTTATTACCAAGGCTCGGGACTTATAGCACTTAAAATCATTAAAATAAGCGCTTAAAAACATCATTGTAAGCACTAAAATAAGCATTTAAAAAATTTTAAATTATGCAAAAATATTTATTAAAAAAAAAAAAAACTAAAATTCTAACTAAAAAATCAAATAAAATAAAAATAAGTCTTTACTTTCAAGACTTTAAGGATTTTATAGATTTTTAAAAGGATTTTTCTGAAAAATAAAATGTAAATTGTTCTCTCTGTTCTTGATCATTCTGATGTTTGACACTCAGTTCTATTTTCAGCGTTGGAACATCCTTGTTGCGATAAATTACATGACAACAAAGATAAGATAAAAATTATTTTTAATTTTAATTCTATCAAAAACGATTTTGCAGGAGAAAACTATGAAAATGTACGAAAAACTGGTCAAATAAGCAAAAATAATCAGAAAAAATAGAATTTTTTTTTTTAAAATTGCTGAAAAAAGCAAAAAAAGGCACTTTCAAATCTCATAATTGTACGTGTTATATCTTAACATACACTTTTATAGCACTCTGCTACATTTTAAGTCAATCCATAAAAATAAGCAAATGTTTTAAGTCCCGAACCCTGTTTATTACTATATCATAATATTTTATCTTATAATTTTAAATTTTTATTTTTTTTTCTACTATGTATCAGTCTAAATACATTTCTATATTTACTCTAGTTAAAATCACCTAAACTTCAAACGTGGTCTAAAAAATCAAAAGACGATATTCAACGACAGTTCATTGATCGTAAATCTAAGATCGACACGTATGAAAATCAACCGTTTTTTGTACATTGGAAAAATGGACATGTCGTAAACTTGTACGCCTCTAGCACTAAATTTCTGACTGAAGAAAATTTTAAAAAAGGAATCGCGGCTCTCTTTCAGGTATACGTCTTGACAATCAGTTCGAAATATAAAGAAAACAAAAAATATTTTCAATAATAACAATGTACTGCGTGTTTTATGTGTAGTTTCAACTGTCTAACCAAAACGTGGTAGAGTATTCAACACTTGGAGAATGCAATGTGACCTATAGTGAAATAAAGGATAATACAATTTCAAAACAAATCAATAATTGCGTGTATTCCAAAAGGCTGCCTGAAATTAAACATCCCGATAAAGTATGTAATTAGTAGATAATTACATAGTAATTTAATATATTCAATATGTTTCATTTAGATTTGGCAAGGCGTTTTAAGTTCAAAACGTGAAGGTCGACTGACATACAATAACGAGGCTCTGGTTGAAATGTCTTTGATCGAAGACTACGAATACATCACTAGCTTTATGGACGAAGTTGGAGCTACGGTGTTGTCAAAACAGTATCTTGAGTTAAAAAGTATTTTTAAGCATGGTTAAATATATGCTTGAAAATAATTACATGATAAAATTTAAATATTTTATAGAAACCAGCTCAAATAACGAAATCATAAAAGCGAATAGTTTGTATGAAACAATTAGTCAACTGGAAAAGAAAACTAAACTGAATCTCAAAAAACAAGATTTAAGTACAAATTATGAGGTTAAAAATTGTGAGCACTACAATTCATGTAATCAAGTAAGTAAATCGAATGCAGTCAGAAAAAAAAATCATTAATGTATTATATTCTGTTTTAGTTAGAATATGTGGTAAATACATATCATGATTCATTATTGGATTCAAAATTGGGAAAATCTAAATCGGCTTTTGCAGCAATTCAAGTAATTAAAGCTATCATAAATAGTGATACAAATATGACTAAACGAGTACTAACAGATGAAAAGAACAATGCTATTGTGTAAGATATATTATTGTAATCTATTGAGCAACTATATACTGGCAGTCCTACAAATAATATTGTTTTTTATTTTATTTTTCTATTTTAGGAACCAATTATATGATATAATGGGAGCTGTTTTAAACGAAGGCTCGCATAAAGTTGCAATGGAGACCTTAGATTTGTCTACAGATAAAAAATACGATCAAGCAGAAAGATACTTATGGAGTGCATCAATAAAATTTAATCCGAAAGTAGAAATCATAAAAAGTAATACTGAAGTATAGATTTTTTGAATTACAATATACTAAGATTACAATCAACTTTTATAGATTTAATTTCAATCACTGAACAGAAATTTTCCAATAAGAATTTGATAGATACCATCTACAACACTGTTACAGCTATGACTAGTCGTTTAATTCGTTACAATCACACGGAAGCAAATGTTCTTGTGAGTATGATCAAAGATAATAGTTTAATAGTGTCACCTAATCGCACATATAATGTGTGTTCGTTTGATTTTAGCTTTACGATGAAATGGTCGTTAGAACATTAGAAAGATTGCAGAAATGTAAACAAGACGACGATGAATGCATATTAATATACATCCGAGCGTTGGCTAATCTCAAGCATCCATTGTCGATCGATGTCCTGTTAAACTTTGCACATGATGGAAATAGAAAGTAAGGATGTTTTTTTGATGATTTATCTTTTCAAAGTTTCTAATAAATTCTAAATAATAAAACTGGACGTAATTACTACATTACTGTCGTACAACATCTGCTATTATTAATGTATTCGTATTTCCAGAATTAGTGCATATGCCATGAAAATTATTAAGATGTTCGGATCGTCTCTATGGAATAATCAAGTGTTGAAATATTGCAACAAGATTTTCTTTCAATTGATCAAAAAACAAGATAGCAGTACTAGAATGATAGCATTGAACATACTTTTAGAATCCAACCCTGACTACGAACTATTGAAGCACGTCATAAAATGGCTCATGATGCCGGACGAGGGATACGAAGTCAAACAATACGCTTTGGAGCTATTAAAGGAAATGGCTAACCAGTGAGGCATTTGAAAGGTTCTTAAAAAATGTTAGACTTGTCTAAAAAAGAATGACACATTCATTAGTACCAGGATGAATAACGATAGAATTAAAATTATAACTATGTGCATAGTAGTATATTAATGAGTTTACAGCTAATTTTCATTGTCCATATTATTGCAGAAATGAAAAATCGGCACAACTTTTACGAACAGTTCTAATCCAAGAAAAGTTAAACCATTATGGAAGTATGGCACAAAGAGGATTGTCGTCTTCATTTTCCAGGATATTTATCAATTACAATAACATCACCGGGCTGGTTAAAACGTCACAACATATATATTCAGGAGTGACTAAACGTGGTTCGGTGGACATCGTTTTGAAACACGATAACGTTCAATATGATCTGTGTAGTGTAAGTGTTATCATGCGACGGTTGAACGAGTAATTTTATTAAGATAACCACGATTAATCAAACTGATTTTATTTTGTACATGTACAGTTCGGCATATTCACGAGTGGACTCGGGTACTTCACGTCCCTTTACGACGATTCGGGCAAAAAAGATACATCCGACGAGGCTAACTTACCGACTTCAGCCGGTTTAGAACTAAGCATTTTCGGCGTACACATCAGACCGTTCATTATGTTTTCTAGTCAGAGTCAGTTGCTGGGGCACGTTTGGTCAGGATCCGGATCAGAGAGAACACCTATTATACAGGTGTGTTCGATTATTTAATATAGGTATTTAAATTGTATTATTTTAATTTATAATGCACAAAATGCACACATTAGTACCTATATGGTTATATAAAATAAAGTAGAGCTGCTAAGGCTACTTAGGTAACATTGTGACATTATATTAATATATAGACGTCAAAAGAATATCATATTTCGCCATTGTTTAAAATCATTACAATTAACTTATAAAAATGTCTTCTTAGCGTGGCGTGAATATGTATAAATGTTCAGTAAAGTATATCATTTAAAATTCATCAATTAAAAATTATCTCTTTTACTGTAATGTTATTAACGAAAGCAAAATTAAAAAAAAAAAATCAAAAAAATCATCTCAATGAAATAATTTAAATACTGGATGTTATTTGATATAGGTATAATAAAAATACAATTACAGTACGCCATTTATTTAAAACCACTCTGAGTAATTATTATTAACTACCAAGTATCTTTTTCACAGTAAAATGTAAATAATTATATTATACTGTCAGATAGGAAACAATAGAATTAGTGAAACACAATTTAATCAAAACGTCAAAAAAAGACTTTTATTATAATTTCCAAACAATTATTCAAATTGTAATACATTTATAATTGATTAGTACTATTTTTAAACGATCTTTTATTGGTCAATACCATAGTCTTTAGTGTCTCAAGTTGATGCTCTAATATCACTATAACTGTAGCAGCCTTTGTGTACGTATATTGTTCCATGATAATAGGTTAGATAAATATTAACGACGCTATTTGTTATTTAATTATCTATTTAACTATTTCACTGGTTCTTTTATCGTTATTCCAGGGAATATCACAAATAATTGAACACCTTGAGTATGTGCCGTTAAGCAATGGTTTTACAGCAGAACTGAGCGTCAAAGGAATGCTATCCTTGGATATAGCTGGTCAAATAGAAATGAGCATGTGGAATAAAAATGCGCAATCGGTGATCGAGAAAAAGTAATGTACCTACCTAAAAAATCGTAGTTGTTAAATCTCTACCAAAAAATACAATAATTATATGATATATAAATTTGATGAACTACAGGAAAACTATTGATTAATATGCATATTTATATTTTCAAAAACCGTATGATTTTCCTAGTTTGTATATATTTTAATTAAGCGATTGGTCTTTGTTCGTACAGCGGCGGGATCAGCATACAAGGATCTCTAAAACTCGAGACGGATTTGGTAACGAACGAAGTGGATTTTGCGTTAATAACGGAAGGTTTTCTTCATATGTACAGTAACGCCGAATTTGACACGAAAATTGTTCTGTGCATGGAAATCATATTCGAGGACACAAACGTGATGTGAGTACACATAAGTATAGATATAAACCCTAATACAGTGGCTCTCAACCTTTTCGAGACTATTACCCGCAAACCGAGTAAGATATTAGTAAATATCCTTACCAGCTAAAAAAAGCACGTGTATTAGGCCTAACGTAAAACCCGCATTATCGGGTTATCGAAACCCAATTAGACTGATTTATGGAACCGTAATGATGGATATATGAATTATGTAAAGAAAATTTTTTTTGTACTTATGTAAAAATTGTTCGTTTTGCAGAAGATAATCACGAGTTTACGGTATAAATCTAATTTATAGATAATACAACAATAATAATAATTATAATAAGAGGTACACAAAAAAAATCCAGTCTTTACCTTTCAAAAAATCCTATTTTACTCCTTGGAAGATAATTATCCCCAGGTTGGGAACCGCTGCCTTAATTCCTTAACCGCGGCGTGAATGTCGGATATTCGTGTGTTTGCATACCTGATGTGACAGTTATCGCGTGCCTATGTATAAATAACTGTATCTACATTGCGCGAACTCCAAAATATTAAGACCTATGCATAATACATTACAGTGCGATGTTGCTACATTGTTCATCGTCAAACTAATTATTAAGGCTATGAAGTTGTAGCGTTAAAAAACATTAATGTATGCATTTAAATAGGCAGTAAAAATTTAAAAAAAGTTGTTCAACATTTCAAAAACCTATAAATTAAACAAAATATATATGTTTAATTAATTATATTGGTATATTCAATGTATTATATCGAACAAAAAACAAATTTTATATTCTTATTATTATAAAAAAAAAAAAACTAATGGACTGGATAAAAATATTAAAATTACATTTACACGATTAATATTATAAGCATAAGCACAACAAAATTGTATTTAAATTAAACATCAAATCGTAACTCGTAATACTGTTCTATATTTCAGCACGGCCGTACAAAGACGAGTGACTGTCAATGAACCCACCGCGCCCTACCGATCTCGTAAGGCTACGACTTGGACGCGCCCTGTCTCCGGACGTTCGTTTGCACTGAACCAACTGGTAAACAAATTTTGCAACGCAATCCATTCTCAGTCTCAGTGATATCAGTTGCAGCCCATAAGTTTCTATATTATAATATTTACAAATAATAATAATACCACTGTGTACATAAGTTATTTATCATATTTACCTCAAAATGTGACTGAAATTTGTATTTTAAGTTTTGTTACAAACTATTTAATAATTGGAACAAAAAAATACATGTAGATATGTAGTTATTATTCATATTGATTTGTTGACTGTTTGAGTTTAAGATTATCATGATGTATGGACCATTGTAACGTGAGCGTAGTCACGTAGTCCTCACTTGTCGAGCGGATTTTATTTTTTCCTTAACTAATAATTCTCTTTGTTAAAGTAACTCTAAATTGACAATAGTACTAACGATTCACCAATATTTTAATGTACAAAAACAAATACCCTACACTTAAATATAAGTTGTTATCATTTTTTTTTTTTTTTGTTGTACTGATTGTTTTTAAATTTAAATCACTATAAGTATTTCGTTCTTATCATAATATTATCATTCTCATTGGAATAAAATTGTCTTATACCAATACGACTATTCGAATGAAATCAAATATTTATAAGATAATTTGTTTCAAATATTGGTTGTCATTAATCAATAAATAAAATCTGTTTTCGGCATAGAACGCAGTGTTTAAATTATAAAGTTAAAATTATATTTTCTAATCGACAGTCAATGTTTTACTATATTTTTGTTTTTATTTATATTTTATTTTTTGTTACTACACAATATTATAGAAAATAAATTGAGCCGGTGCTGAATAAACGGCGATCAATTTGCTGATGAAACTCGACTCTAGAATAATTTAATCATCGATTTCCGAAACGTCATATTAAAATTCAAAAACAAATCGACACATATTATGTATGGAAAGTGCTCAAACCATCATAATTTATTTTAAGTTTGTACATATTTATTCATACAAAGCGTAATCGTGTTCAAGGTAGATAACTCGTACAATTTATTGAACTACTATCGAATACATTTAAAACGAGGTCACTACAGACATCGTTGACATACATTGTAATATTGTATTAGGATCACATAAAATTGACGGCATGAGTTTCGAGTGTTCCTGTTAAAACAAAAATCAAATAACTTCGACATCTGCGACAGAGCCGCCGATTTACAAATACATATCAGTTCTTTTTCCTATCTATATACACTGTTAACCAAATATAATTGAAAATAACAAAAAAAAACATGATGCAATACATTTTATAAAGTAACTTGCGTACAATAAAAAAAATAATAATAATAATAATAAACAATATATTGAATAATGATCGTGTAAGAAAAATTGTAACTCGAGTAGAATATTATCGAACGAAGTCGTGTAAATAAAATGCTTCGGTGTTCAGACGTACTAATCAGGAATTCTTAAATTTCGCGTGGGAACAGGATGCACAATATCTTCGGATACGTGTCGGACCACGGTTCGGTCGAGAAAAACGTGTACACACGTTTTACCATTCTTGTCCATAAATACAGAACATAGCATTAATAATAACATGTTCGAACAACGACTGCGCGGCGCTGCGTTTAATAGTTACTACTAATTAAGGTGCACGATGGACGCGTTCGCCGAGATGTACTCGACCGCGTCCTGAGCCACGTGCACCGGCAGCTGGGCGGCGAACAGGTACACCGTCTTAACGGCGTTGCGCAAACGTCGTTTCGTCCATCCGCCACTTCCAGTCCCTCGACTCCGGTCGAATACGTCGCTGTCCTCGTCTTCGGTCAGCGATCCCTCATTGTCGGCCGCACTATCGTCCTCCTCCTCGTCGTCGTCGCCGTCCCGGTTCTGCCGTCCACCCGAGACGTTCGTGTGCTCGTTGCACAGCGCGTCCGCCACGGACTTGAGGAAGTGGGACACGTTGCGTTGCACCAGCTCGCCGTACCTGCTGGTGCAGTTGTCCAGACACCGTCGGAAGTCACGGCCTTCGGTGAACGGCACTAGCCCCGAGTCCGCGGCCTTGTCCACGGCCTCCTGGAACCGGAACTCTGACCAGTGGTAGAAGAACGCGTATACGTCGCGCAGCACCTGGAACGTGTCGATGGGGCCGCCGCGGGTTACCGCTGCCGTTTCTAATCCGCCGCTGCCCTTGGCCGCGTGCAGGTGTTCCGCGTACGCGTACACACGATCACAATAGTTCTTTGCGCCGGCCCCGACGCCGTGCCTGCGCATCCGTTCGCGGGTCCTGGGCACGTCAAACTCGTATATCGCGCGGCTGAGCATGCCGTTCATCACGCCGTACGCGGCCCGGTCCGAGCGCATGGTGTACAGCTCGATGGCCACTTCGGGCCGGCTCCGGTCCAGCGCCAGCTCCAGCGTGCGGTCCACCACGGCGTCCACCGTGTCCGCGGCGTACACGTCCCGCAACCGGCCGCCCTCCGCGCCGAACATCCACTCGCACATATTGCCGTCGAACGACGTGGCCAGATCGGCCACGCATCGGTAGAACAGCTGCCACCGCTGGTCGCGGCCACCACCGCCGTCGCAATCGTCACCGTCGCCGTCGCGCAGGAAGTAGTAGTAGTAGGCCGCGTAGTGCGGGTACTGCGACTCGAACTCATGGCAGAACAGCAGCACCAGCCGTGTGTAGTTGAGCCGCGCGAACCGCACGTCCACGTTCTCGTTGGACAGGAACGGCGCCTGCAGGTAGCCCGGTGTGGCCAGTACGCGCTTCTCGCGCAGCCCGATGGCTATGTGCACCGCGTGGTTCGAGTACGCGGCGGCCGCGGCGTTGCGGTACAGGAAGTCCACAGCGCTCTCGAACTGGCCCACCAGGAACAGCAGCTCGAAGTACACGTGTGGCTGCTGGTCCCGGTACGGCTTGCCGTGGTCCAGCACGTACCGCTGCAGCGCGCCATAGTCCAGCCCGTCGGACGCGTCTGCGTACTTGGCCGCCGAGTGCTCGACCAGCAGCATCCACAGCTTGTCCTCCACCGTCTTGGCAACGGCCGCCTTCTCCGCGTTCGCTTCGACCAGGCCCAGCAGGGAGAACGTCGTCTTCCGGAACGCGTTGTCGCCGCACACCGCCGCCGGCAGCGTCCTGTAGTACCGGTTCAACGTGACGCCTACGTTGGTGGCCGCGCGTCCCGTGAAGCTGCCGTCCTTCAGATGCGTGAACACGTTGACTAGGTCGTCGAGCGCTAGCCCAGACTCCCGGACGAAATGTTCTGCCACGTCCGTGCGGCCGCACCGGAAACAGAAGTACAGCAACGGCCAGACGGACTGTTCGTTCACGTGGAAATCGAATTGCTGCTGCTGCTGCTGCACAGCGGCCGCCGCGGGCGGCCGGCCGGCGTTCATGAACACGTACGAACCGATGACGGCCGCCATGTGACCGGTGTCGCCGACAGCGCCGCCGATGTCCAAATGTCGCGTCTCCTTGATCAGGAACGATTGGTACTTATCTTCCAGATAGTTTTTCGCGTTCTTCACCAGCTTCGTTTGGTTTTCCTCCGAGAAACGTTCGTTGAACGACCCGTTGGCTGACCGCTGCGGTGTTATGTCGTGCATGTATTTCACCACGTTCCAGATGTGCGCGACTGTGGCGTCCGCGTTTGACCGGTGCATGGTGTCCAAAAACCGACCGATCAGCTCCCCGACCGGCTCGCCGCTCTCCTTCGCCCGGATGTAGTCCTTCACATCCTCGATGAACGGGAAATCGCCTCCGCCCCCGCTCGGATCGAACGTGAAATGCGTGTTCTTCTTGGTGATCGGCAAGTTCTGCAGGCAGAATGACACGTCGTACGAGTCCGACGCGAACTCGTTGTATACCAGACCCTTTTTGATCTTGCCCCAGCTCGTCTCGATCAGGTCACGCGCACTGCCGCTCACCGCTTCCTTCTCGTCCGTTCTCCCTTCCAGATTCTTGATATAGTCCTCTACGTGTCTGCCCATCAGCGACTCCACGCTACTAGAATAGTCCATCACGGGTTTGGCGTCGCACGTTGCCATTGCGTTCTGGTCCTGATACGTGCGCAACTTTTTCAGCACGCTACCGTAGCTGTGCAGGTCCAGTCCGCGGTTCGCCAAGAACTCCTTCGCATATTGCTCGTCGTTCCCACCTAACAACTGTTTCGACGAGTGATCGGCATTCCTGCACAGCTGACGCAACGATTTATGTATTTTGGACACCGGCTTCAAAGTGTCGGTGTCTTTGCAAAGCTTTTGCCCTTGTAGCAACAGGTATTCCAAATCGGTGTCCGCCATATTTTCTTATTCTACAAAGCATGTTGATAAAATAAAATAAATATCAATAATCAGATGGCTGATTTATAGTGAACGTTCAGTGCACATATATCAACAAATTATAACTAAATAATGTTCATTTAATCTATACATAGGTACTTCTTAACAAGTAAAATGTACACAGGACCTTACTATTTATGTATGTTTAAAAAAATCAAATTAATTACACTATAATTAATAAATTAAAATATTATTGGTAACAAAAATATGTAGTATAACTTTAAATATATTGGCTGGTAAAAGGCAAAAGGAGCTAAGCGACATGGTGTATACTAGATCTTTCGATCGCACTAACGCTACTTTTGTTCTGATCATTTTGTAATGAGATTTAGTAAGTACAAGAATTTAAATTTTTTGGGACAAGCTACACAACTATTATAAAAATAAGGGGAAAGCACCCTTTTTTAGGGGTATAAGTTACATTGTTGAAAATTTTATGGTCTAAGCAACAAATTCATGGCGCTTAGCCTTACGTTTGCTTCTTATCAACTTTCATAATAATAATATGACTTATGAGTATCAAAACATTTTTTATATTGATATAAGTGATTATATAAGTAAAGTTCTTTATACGTCCTAGGTATAGATACTTATGTTGCACAATTGTTACAAGTCTACTGAACAATTTATAAGAGCCATTTATTACAAAAAAAAAAAAAAATTATAAAAATTAGAGCTAAGCACCAAAAAAAGGTAAGTTTAGTTAAATTCATTATGATAAAAGATGTACTTAATATTTCAATGCAATTAGTGTCAGACCAACAAGATAACATGTCATAGAATAGAAATATATAATAACCTTATTCCTAATGCTTAAACAAATACTGAAGCGCCAATGTCAAAGTTAAGAAATTATGAAAATTTTGTTTTGCTCTCCTAAAAAGTAGTAAAATTATTGCTTAACCCCTTATGTCTTTTATCAGTCAATATATTTATGAAAAACTCATATAATATGTTGGGTGCAACAACTTTCTTTCAAAAATATAATAACAATAAACACGATAAGAACATATGGTGCACACTAAAAATTAATAACTTAATCAATGATCCATAAGAATAATTTTGATGATTTGGGTAATTTTATTCCAACAATTTAAATAATAATATTTTTTCTCTTTTTAATATCTTGTAAATCAATTTCATGTATCTACAATTTATATTTCAAATTTATATGTAGCAAGTTTTATTTTATTTTTGTTTTCTTTCATTTTATTTATCATTAAAAAACAATTATTAACTTTCCACTATACTATAAGCTCAAACTTCTAAAAAAGTAGAAATATTTTCATTTATATACTATTAATTATTTAAAATGTATGAATAAAAAAAAAAAGTAATTAATAAAATTCAAAAATTCAAAATCATACCGGTAAAATTTAACTATTTTATAATGTAATGAATATTATACAGGTACTTTCATATATTATGCACTATCAGGTATTTAATTATAAATATCACATCATATATTATAGTACATCTACATTAGGTGCATGGTTTTAAAATATTAATACTTCTGATATTTTGAAAAGGGCATAAACGATATAAAAATATAAAATTATTTTTGTATAATTATTGACAGATTGAGTCAATCAGGTGTAAACTTGTATTAATAATATGAATGTCTATATTCGCTTAATAAATTAAGACTCTAAATAAGTACATTGTATTATATCCAAATCTAGAAAGACACAAAGTGAGACATACATTATAAAAAAAAAAAAAATTTTTAGTCACTTTCATATTGTTCAAATAAAAGGTATTAGATAAACAAGAAAGAAATTAAATTTAAAGTTAAAGTAATTCAAATTAAATTTATTTATATACATGATAGATCCAATATGATTTCAATAACAATCAACATTATAATATAAAAAATAGGGGCATATTTAGAGATTTTTTTTTTTTTAGGGACTGGGGGATTTCCTTTCAACAAAATATTACAATTCAACTAATTAAAAACAAAAGTTTGGATTTTTGTAAATAATTTTTATAATTATTGTATAATTATAACTTTATTTTACAAGATTAATAAAATAAATTTAGACGAAGAAGAATGAAATAAAATACCAACATAATAATAGAAAATTAATAGTTATACTACATAACGTGAACAATTTGAAATTAATAATTCGAAAAACAATGATATGAGGTTTTAGAATTAACATTTTATAGGGTGAAAGCTGACTTATAAATTATTTTCTAAAATATTGGGGGCTGAGATCTCCCCCTCCCCCCATAAATATGCCTTGTTATAAATATGATTTGTTTTTAATTTATAAAATTAAATTTTAATTTTTTGTGCTACAGTACTTTTCCGAAATATAATAAGACTAACTTTTCAAGAGAGAATCAAAAACGGAAAATGCGTTGATATTACTGATATAAACAATGAACATCGTTACTGTTATTATACACCAGTGTAATCGTATACGGATAATGCCGTACGGACGGTCGGGCAGACACGTCATGACGCGGAACGCGTTCGGGAAATGAAATCTCGGAGCTGGTAAACATAAACGATCGATGCCGACGACCGTGTAGAGCGTTAGGATGAACAGGATAACGGGAAACCCACGGCGGGTTCGGATCGGATTGTAGCGAAACACTTACCTCTGTCGGTTTGCCGGTCGGTTGAGCAGTCAGAACCGGGAGAACGAGATCGCGTTCAACTGAACGCGCAACTGTCTTCCCGTTAGAATATTCGAAAGCTTCGCACGTGCGATGTCGGTTAAACGTGTTGTTTCTTTTGAAAAAAAAAAAAATGTTATCAACGCCGCCCGGTCGGTCGCGATAAAGGTGCGCGCGTCCGTGGAATAAACGCAGTGCGGCCTGGCGATCGGCACACGAAATACCGTGGCGGCTCCGGTTGGCGGCGATTTCGTCGCAAGGAAGCGTGTCGTGGCGCAGGTAAAATCGTACGGCGGGAAAACGCGAACAAAAATCGGTACGGCAGATTCGACTTCGATGCGCGCCAACGGTCGTCGGAAGGTGAACGATCCTATTCAGTGTTAAAAAGGATTAAAAATTTTCAACGGTCTTCTATCAGTCACGGAAAATTGTCTTCTTTTGCACTTTTATCAATAGAGTCAGAACTGTTGAGAGCAATTAGAAAGGATGATATAATTGATGAATTTGCCAACACAAAATGTAGATAAAAAGTCCTAAGTTAAATATTTTAATATTGATACAATTTTACTTATTAGGTACCTAAATGGTACTATATAAAATTAAACATTTGATAATTCAATTATAACTGCATTTGATAAATTAATGTTTGATAATAAACTATTGACTAATGTAATTTTAAATGTGTTTTACTTAGTATTTGAAAATAAACTACTAACTAATGTAATTTTAAATGTGTTTTAAGTTTTAACTGTACACATGTTTCAATCAGTGCCTTGGACCTACGGATGGCTTAATCCGGCCCTGGCTGGATCATGCATTTTTGAAGATTCTTGAAGATGTATGTACATCAAAATATAACATAGGTAAGTTAAAATGCCAAACATATTCTCAATACCAAGGATTTTCAGCATAGCTTACTAAAGAATCACCTCAAACATCTTCACATTTGATGCTATGCTTAAATATTAAACTTGGTATTAATAATATCGATCAACAAATACAGAATTCATAATTTTACTTGTTTTTATATCAGTCTATAAAAACGAATCACTAGATATTATGAGTAATCCACGTACGGTTGAAATCGGCGTTAAAAGCGATTTGTTTTTGTTCAAAAAATGTTATTGTAAAACAAATAAATAATAACATTTAATAAACGATTAACAGTAATTAATTAACAATATTTGAAGTTTTTGCTTTAGCAACATGATGTAGTTGTCTTTATAAATATTTTTACAAATTACCATTATCTATTATTTAGAACTCTTTAATAATCCTCCTCTATTTTTTTACATCAATTAATATGGAATAAAAATATTTATGACTATAGTTTAGTTCACTTTATGTAATAAAGAATATTATCATTTAGTAGCGTACCTAACTAGGATTTTAAAATGGAGGGGGCCAAACCCAAAATACTAAAAGAACATAATCAACAATTAACAATAAGTTTGTTAATATATTAATTTTTATATTAAGTTTATCGTATTAAATATATTTTATTTCATTATAATTACATTTCAATTTATTAGTTTAATTATTTTGACTAATCAAACAATAAAAGACGTTGATGAGATTTTGAGAAAAAAATGTTTTCATTATTTATTTCTACCAAAAATAAAAATAAAAAATTGATTGTAGTTAACGCAAGCTTCTATTTTTTTTCATATTAGTTTTCTTTTGAATTGAGGGCCCCAAATCACGAGGGCCTCGGTGCGTCGCATCTACTGCACCACTGCTACGCCGCTGTGTAACACGATTATTGATTAATAATTTAACGATAAAACAATAAGTGTTGGTATACAACTTACCAAGTCAATAATAATATTA